GTTGGTACTAGTTGTATCCTCGAAGTTTTCCCACATCCAACCCACAGTCAACAGGTTTGCTCATTTAATACTCCGGAGCTCGCGCTTCCAGCCAGACAAACGTGCTCCCGCAGTATCTGTGAGATACATGTTTCAATTTTTGTAAATAATATCAAAAACTCTATTAATTATATTACGGGAGAGGAGAAATAAATTATATTATATGTACTTGTAACAAAATAGATATCTTGTTGCAAATGTATATATTTCAAAACTTATAAAAACAAAATTTCAATCTTATCTAACCATGATCTAGTTACCTAGAAAGTAACCAAGAAAGTTCACCTTAGTTATTCCAGAAAGAATGAATTATGTATCGCAGATAAGTTGCGAGCACCAAAATATTAGCAAATTAGATCACATTTTATGTTTATAAATAATTCCATATTCATTTGAACGAATATTATAGTCAGATAACGAAAGTGCAAATTTGTACGAGCAGAGAAAGCATGCTTACATTATACAGAGTGTCCCGCATAAGACGTGCCAAAAGAAAAATATAAGTAGAACAGATAAAAGTGAACAAAAATATTAGATGTCATTTTTCAAACAACCACGTAAAATTTTGAGATATTAATTAAAATAGTTGGGCAAATCAAAGCGCGCGACGTGACAGACGGGACATATGGCTCGCCGTGACCGGCAAAGAAAATGGACGATTGCTCGGGTCTATCTCATAGATCTAGAGGTGGGGACTACGTCTTAGATCTGACACTGCGTGATAGGCCCGCCAGCAATCGTCAATTTTCTTCACTGGCCGTAGGAAGCCGTATGTCTCGCCTGCTGCGTTGCGCGCTCTGATTTGCCAAACTATTTTAATTAATATCTCGAAATTTTACGTGGTTTTTTGAAAAATGACATCTATTTTTGTTCACTTTTATCTGTTTTACTTATATATTTTTTTTTTGGCACGTGTTACACCCTGTATAATGTAAGCATGCTTTCTCTGCTCGTATAAATTTGCACTTTCGTTATTTGACTAAAATATTCGTCAAGTGAATATGGAATTATTTATAAACATAAAACATAACCTAATTTGCTAATATTTTGGTGCTCGCAACTTATCTATGATACATAATTCATTCTTTCTGGAATAACTAAAATGAACTTTCTAGGTAACTAAATCACGGTTAGATAAGATTGAAATTTTGTTTTTATAAGTTTTGAAATATATACATTTGCAACAAGATATCTATTTTGTTACAAGTACATATAATATAATTTATTTCTCCTCTCCTATAATATAATTAATAGAGTTTTTGATATTATCTACAAAAATTGAAACATATATCTCACAGATACTGCGGGAGCACATTTGTCTGGCTGGAAGCGCAAGCTCCGGAGTGTTAAATGAACAAACCTGTTGACTGTGGGTAAAAGATGTTAAATTTCTTAATGTATGTGACTTAAAAGTAAAAAAGCTAGAATTAAGGAATAAAAAGAGCTAAAACCACAGAAAAAGACTTGCAGTTACAATTGAAAATCTTCGATAGAAAAACTTCAATCGGGTAATAACATATTTTTCATTACATACATTTCCATTCAAAATTAATATTTCTTCATAAAAAGAATAAAAATATTTTTTCATTATCTATTGAATAAGTGCATGATTCGTTTGATAGAATTAATGAAATTGTTTTGCAAATTTCGATTAGCTTAAAGTACGAAATAATTTATTACAGTGAATATAACATCAACAAAAATGAATTTGTTCGATGGGAAGGTTAAAACAATTACTTTCACCCAAAATTTTTTCGCTGCATCAGTAAATCCATTTGTTTATAACGTTCCACTTTGCCCAGCAAGTTATAGATTTTCTCAATCAACCAATCCATTTTCTTTCGTGAAAAATAACAATTTTATCACATTGCGATCACAAAATATCACATAAAATTAAATAAACGTTTAGAAAAGGAATAACCTTTTCAAAAAGCTTCTCGAATTTCATGATAAAACACGGTATGTAATTTTAGCATTATTTTTATAATACTGTTAATGTGATACATAGATCATGCGGTTTTATAAAATCAAACTATTGGTATTAGGTCGACTATCCGTTCTGCTTTATTTTATTCCATCAATGCCGATCGAAGTGTCGAAAGTAAATCGCCTTACCTGTATGCAGTGGCATATTAAATAGAATTATATTTAACTAGCGTATACAATATATCAACCTGTTGCACACTATGAATTTTCACGCCATGCTCATCTGCTTCATATATTTTCGTTTAGCATAACAGAAATATTGTAATTTATCGAACCTGATATTTGTCCGCTTGAGGAAAAGTTTGATCCCCGCTTGAAAAACGCGCATATCGAAAATAGCCAGCCAGCTTACATTTATTATATCGCTTTCATATGCGCATTTTAAAAATACGAGCGTAACTTGCGTAACTTGCGTCACATATAGATAAATATTCGTATCACGCAAAAAAGTTACTGACGTTTACTCCGATAAATTAAATTTGTTCTCATATTAATATATTATATAATACCGCGAAAAAATATTTCAATACATTCATTATCGCTTATGCAACTCACTTTATATTTTAAAAGCACGACCGTGCTATCAATTATCACAGAAACACTTGCAAAATCACAATCGCGTTCCGTACACTGTTGCAGAAAATAAAATTTCTGCTTTTCAGCGATGGACGAGATACATAGAGAAAATATGGTAATAAAAATTACAATACAATTTTAGTAGTCCGAAAATAGAGTGGTACTACAATGAAAATTATAAGAAAACATAGTAAAAAGTGATCATGAACACTAAACCGGGTCGAATTAGGAAAAAGTTTGCGAATCATCGATCAAAAAACTACATCAAATAACATCATGATGATATTTCTTGAAATGACTTTCATGTGATATCATAGTAATATTTTTATGAGTTTTATTTGGGATATATTTTTATTGTATTCTACTTAGGATTGCTATTTTGTAATTTTTGACCTTCAATCATTTTTTTGCATTATACTTGCATTTGTAAGTAGCAACTTCTCCGCACTATTGGATTTTGATCCGCAAACTTTTCAAATCAGATAACAATAAGATCACAATAAAAATATTACTATAATATCACATGAAAATCATTTCAAGAAATATCATCATGATGTTATTTGATGTAGTTTTTTGATCGATGATTCGCAAACTTTTTCCTAATTCGACCATTTTGTCTTTTTGTCTAATGAACATAGCAAAAATAACATAGTAAAAATTATAAATGTAGTAAAAATTATCATGTTTATGGTCATTTTATTATATTTTATTATAATTTTTGTAATAGTGCTCTTGATAATATCAATTATTCGAATATCGTGCAGAATTATTGTTTTATCGCGATATGAAATGCTCGCCACTATATTCGATGTTTCTGATTCTACGATCACGAAAGTATCAAACTAAAAAATGTCCTATGATTACATTAATATTCATAATACATCATAGTATTTTGTAACTATATAGATTTCAAATATATGTCATATCTATATTATGGACTTCTAGAAGTTCATCAAATATCTAGACAAAACAAATTTCTCTTCCTCATAGGCTGTAAACTAAGTTTTACGGATTTTATCATTAAGAACCTTTATTAATACATCAAATATTTAAAACAAGCTTCTTTAATCAAGACACTGACGCTATCCACCATTTTAAGCAAAAATGGAATACTGCGATAGGAAAAGGCAATGGAAAAAGTTGACGTCAAAAAAGTTATCGTACTATTTTTGAGCCACTAAGAGATTTCGAAACCGTTGTCTTGTCAAATTATGCTGTATCGACTGAAACAAGTAGTAGTCGGAAAAGACGCATTGTATGATAAATAGATTAAATACTGAAAGACTTTATCTTTCAGTAACCTTTAAGTATACCTTTGGTTTACAGGTTCAACAGAATTTGCGCGATGGTTGAAGTGGCATTATGACTTTTGTTCTACTAAAAGATTTCTCATTGTTTTAGTTCTAAGCATCTTTCGATCGATATCGTTTCTAAGAGTTTTCGCACACAAATTACCGTAACTATAGATATAAAACGTAAACTTAATTTGAAGAATCAATCAGGATTTTACTGTAGTTTTGTGTACTCTAGAAGAAGACAGAACTGCCAGTTTTAAACTGATCGTATACAAAAATATTTACGTGTAAACTAGAATGCATCTGCTTGAAATTCTAGTAACTCTATCTGAATTCTAATTAAGCGGTTATTTCAATATTCTCTTGACTAAAAGCATTCTAAAGCAATATTCTGATTGGTTCGTTACGTCTTATGTTCATGGTTATCTGACCTGGTTCCATGTCTATAAAATGTAAATGTAACTTATCGCATCATATACAAAGTAAAGTCATGGTTTTAGACATTTGGCGTAGTTGGTGCTGATTGACGAGGATTTATCAACAGCAGTGGTTACGACAATTTTTAGATAACCGATAAATTAAACAGAAACAAAAACCTGCTGCGAACTATCGTTACGACGAATATCAATTGTTTAATTTCGATCGGCGAAACTTTTTTTACAACTTAATATTAACAAAACAAATCTCATGTTGCGTCAAAACATCTACCATCCTTTTACAAATTCATGAAACACGAATCGAATTCGTGAATTCGAATGAAACACAACTTCCACTACTATTTCTTTATTTTTTTATTTTAAATGTTTGTCGACATGTTTTTCTATAATTTTCTACTATTTCTCAAGCAATTGTCCAATTCCGTATCTACAAAATGTAAATGTAAAACCTGTATTTTAAGTCACTGACATAATCTTATCTAATATTATAATTTCCTGAAATGCATTTCCTTGCATTTGAAAGCATATTAAGAAACTGGCAATCCATCCTTCCAATTTTCAAAACATAACAGACAACAAAATTTTCTACCACCATTCCCCCTGCCAACCCCCCTACCTTCCTGTCTCCTCCTCCCCTCTTCCTCCTATGTCAACTACTATAAAGATAGTCTTCTCAGGAGCAACTCGGCATCGGGTTGTTCCTCCCTAATGAAGCGGATTGAAATGTTCGCGAAACGTCGGAATCAAACAAAGAAAAATCCACGCGGCTTAAACCCGGAAACCAAGTCTAACATATTGAGAAACGTTTAAAATAAAGAAAAAAGAGAAATAGACGGTGTAAGTGAAAGTTGCATTTCATTCTACGACATCGCGTTCGCAATGGCAAGTTTTACGAGCAGATTAATTATAATAGTGCTGGCATTATCAGCCATTGTTGATGCTAGCCGCATTCTTGGAGTTTTCCCACATCCAGTCTACAGTCATCAGGTTTGCTCATTTAACTTATTCATCCATTATTTAATTTTTTTTTGAGTTAATAAAATTATTAATGATAGAGAACTTTTTCAAGCCCCTAATATGTTTGTGGATTTATAGTTGGGCTTCCGACATTTAACCTTAGAACTGGCGCGAAGAGGGCACGAGCTAATCGTCTTCACGACGGATCCCATGAATGAGCCTAATCTTCGACTGCAGTACACCGAGGTAGATCTGCACTATCTTTATGATTACACTATGAGTAAGATTGATTTCTACTCAAAAGCAAAGCTGGGAATCTGGTCGTTTGTTCATGAAATATATAAACACAACGAGAACATTACTGACGGGACGCTATCGCATCCCGTGATGCAACGTCTCATATCGCCGAACAGCACCGCGAAGTTCGACCTGATCATCGTCCAAAACCTGTTTTACGATGGGCTTTACGCGTTATCGATTCGCTTCAACGCACCGTTAGTTGTAATCTCGATGATGTCATTGTCGGCTAATCATAACTACGCGCTCGGTGAGCAGAATGTTCAGTATTCGTGATGCGTGTCTAATTATTATTAGCCGGTATGAATCTTTCCTGAAGCTTCTCTGATGCCGCAGGAAATCCTTTGTTGACGTCTACCTCACCGGATGTGTTACTGGGCTACGACGATGATATGAACCTATGGCAACGTTTTGTCAATCTGTACTATCAGCTACGTCAGATATACGGGTACAAGTATATTGTCCTTCCTATACAAGAACGGATTAGCAGGAAGCATTTCGGCGACAGCATACCACCTATCCATCAGCTCAACTCGCGTATCAGCTTGATTCTGGTGAACTCACATCCGTTCTTTACTTACCCTCGCGCAGATATACCCGCGATCGTCTATATAGGTGGATTTCGCGTGGATCGTCAGAAAAAGAAGTTGCCACAGGTAGTACTGTTGTCTCATAGCAAGCGTGAAACGAGCGAATAGCACGATTTAGTCACGGCGCACAGAATGAAACATCTCGGGAAATATTCAATTTTCGATGGTCTTATGTCGATACTTCTATACGCAGACGGAACGAATCGATTTATGTTAAAAAAAAAAAAACTATATAACTCAATTAACAAAATCGAAGTCTTGAAGTAAGCTTGAAAAAACTTTTCGATGTTTTAATAATATTATCAGCTTATGTCTCCCTCTTTCTCTCTCGAGATTTTATAACTTATATTTCACTTTAAGCACTTTTCCGTATAATACCCGCCATTTGAGAGTTATTGGGCTATAAATGCAGAAAACGTATTTTCCTATGTTTTCCTTACGAAATTTTCCTTTATTTCGTGAACGAGCATCTATGAATAATTAGAAATTATAAATTTATGAAATGGAAAATCTATTTAGTAATGTAAATTTAGTAATGTAAAATCAACAGAAGTTTAATATTTCTCAAAATATTTTTTTTAATAATAATGCTAAATATATATAGAGACTGACTTTCTATACGCGAAGAAATGGTTATGTTTTGAATGGCATTGTTACATGGTCAAGATAAGTATTTATCCTTGGTATCTATCCTAAGTATTTATCCTCATTCAAAAGTAATGTTGTAGCGTCTACGTAAAGCTTAAAAGTTCAATAATTCTCATAAATGGTTTATTAAGAAAAAATTATTGAAATGAAAATTATAAAATTTCGAAAGAAACATAAGATGATAGCTTTTGATATTATGACATTGAAATTATTCTTTCCAGGTTATTTCAAGATCAATTTCAATCTTTCTAATTAAATCAGATGATTCTTTTGATATAAATCGATTCCTTATGTCATTCTACATATAAAAATATTAAGATGAGATTATCAAAAAGTAAATATTTACCAAGATGTTTTACCATGTACGTTCACTATTTTCGCATGTCTCGATTCACTGTGCGTCAATATTGTACGAATGTTTCTGCTTCGAATTCGTCCACGTTTTGACTCCCAAGTCTAAGCACAGTTAATTAAAGTTTTAAATTTTATCAAAATTGTAAAATTCCATTATTAAGTGCATTGTGTGTGTTCCATCACTGTGTGTTGTTGTAGGATTTGGATAAGTTATTGAACGATACGAAAGAAGGATGCATATATTTCAGTTTAGGCACAAATATAAAGAGCAATATCTTACCCATCGATAGGCGCAACATGCTTCTAAAAACTTTTGCGGCATTGCCTTACAAGGTATTATGGAAGTTTGAGTCCGATTATCTCGCAAACAAGCCCGACAATGTCGAAATAAGAAAATGGTTTCCGCAGCAGAAAGTTCTAGGTTCGTACTTTTCATCGTAGTCTACTTTTGCTGTAAAATCTGTATAGGATACACCGCAATAGAGGAGTTAAATCACAATAAGAGATTATTTAGGATCGATTGACAATTCGACAATTTGTCGTTCCTTGAAGAATTTTCGCATTGAGATTGGAACTATTTATTCTCAAACACCTCGCACACACGTTCTATATAATATTGCGTTTGTAAAGATATGTAAAATAATTGTGAAAGTTCAACTTATACGCCGTAAAGTTTAATATCATCAAGATAATATTACATAATCTTATAAAAATACGTTTTATTTCATTAGCGCATCCGAACGTACGACTGTTTATCTCCCATGGAGGACTAAACAGTATCGACGAAACGATAGAGAACGCAGTCCCCGTAATTGGCTTTCCTGTATCTATAGATCAAAATTTTAATATGAGAAGACTGCAACATTTTGGAGTAGGGAAGATCTTGAGTATAACCGATGTGAACGAGGAGGAATTTAGAGAAGCTATATTGGAGATGATAACAAATTCCAGGTAAATGCATTCAAAGATTATGTGTCTTCGAGTTCTTTTCCGTATCAGTTTCATAATTCTTGATGTGTATTTTCTTTTAACTGTAATTATATTATTTTGTATTAGACTAAAATTTACTTGAAGCCTAAAAGACGCAATTACAGAGATAGAAAGATAGATCTCTTCGACTAAGATAAAAAAAACTTTCACTGGTAGCGCCGTTATAGAACCCTTTGAATGTACAGGATTAATCCTTTTGCTCACCGCTCTTTGTCCTCAGTTACAAAGAAAATATGGTGAAGCTAAGCAACTTGTTTCGAGATTTGCCGCACAAGCCGTTGGATAATGCCATCTGGTGGATCGAACACGTGATACGTCACAAAGGAGCATCGCATCTTCACAACAAGTCGCAAGATTTAGCTTGGTATCAAAACCAAATGTTGGATGTGATGGCGATTGCACTCGGGACAATCGCGCTTATTATATATATTATCATAGTAATTATTCGTTATCTATCAAACATATTTCGTTTTTATTCAATGCGAGCAAGGACGAAGCATGATTCAAAAAAACAAAATTAACATTAATTACATTAATTTGACTATAATTAAAAGGATATATTATATATATATATTTTTTTTAATTATAATAAAAAATATCTTTCTTATACGAGAGTTAACTAAAAAACATAAACATTTTAGCAGATCTACACGCTGAGTAATTTGTGATTTAAAGACCTGATTCACATATAGAAATATACAGAGTAAGTCAATTATTATCTTAAATATCTTCGAAGCAAGAAACAAGGGTGATTTTCAGATTTTCAAAGTTATTCTACTTTAAAAAAAAAAGTTTCGTACTTAAAAAGTTACGCTTTTTTTTCTAGGAGGAGTAGCTTTAACGATCTTAAGAATACTTTTATTTATTGCTTCGAAAATATTCAAAACGATAATAGTTATTGACTTAATCTGTATAATAGATATCTGTACACAATAGATACACAATACAGGAATAGACCTACACATAAACAAATACATAGATTAAGCTCTAATATATAGTTACTAATATATAGTTACCACTATGTGTATAGATTCTAGTTCAACTTCTTTAATATCTATTAATAATGCTTCGTTCATTGTATTTTCCTCTATCGTAATCGTTTGCATGATGAAATAAACGCAACATTTTCATAATAAAATAGTAACGCCATCACAATGTTGAACAGTAAATTAATATAAACCAATATATTCTAGATGCAATACGGTTGTGCAGCCGATTGTAAAAGATCCGTACGACTCACAAAATCGACTCCTTTTTTTTGTTTTATGTTGTCGACTCGCGTTGCTTCAGGGTCAATATTTCTCTTTTTCTCCTCAGCGCAATAAAACTGCCGATTTTTCGTTCTCAATTTGGCGCACCTAATAGTATGTGTAAATATATATGTAAATATATGTATATGTATAAATATATATGTATATTAGAGTGGTCCTTATTTACTCTTGGTCAAAATTTTTTTTCGAATTTTTCTCGCGGCATTCTCCAAAAAGATTCCATTTGGCGAAAAAGAAATCCTTGCCAAACTTTTGCTCGATCGGATAACGAGAACCCGTGCCCCCGGATCGTTAAAAATTGGAGAACCTTTATATTAAGTTGTCTGCGTTTTCAATATGGTTTTTAAAGCGTGTTTTCCACAAAAATCATCCTAGACAAGTTTTTTTTTCTCTTTATACATCGTTTGAGTTCTTATAGTCTTATTTAAACAATTAGATAAATTGTTGATGACTAAAAAATAAAAATAAATAGTTATTGCATTTATTGTTTGAGCTACAACAAATCATGTATGAACTACAAAAGTTGCAATATTATGTTTGGAGGACAATATAAATGTAAAACATGATACCTTTCATGTTTTTATTAATAAAGAAACTTTTTAAATTAAATATTACATAATAATTAATAATCTCGTGGCTCCTAATCTTATACTGGGAGGGGACCATAGATGTACAGTCTGTTTGATAAGAACGTGTACGGCAAAACTTGGTAAATAATTTATTGAAATAATTTGGAATAAAATATACACATACTACTTGATTAGAACTGTGATATTTTATTATTAATAACTTGTTCAGTTGCCTTAATAATGCCTGGCATCTCCGAGGCATACTTTCAACTAATTTTATAGCATATTCTTGAAGTAAAGATCTCCATATCAATCGAATTTGTCGTACTAATTCCTTGACCAATCAAATTTTCTTTCCATGAAGTTTAAATTTTATCAAAGACCAAACATTTTCGATAGGATTTGCATCTGGTGACTGTGACAGCCAATCCAGTAATTCAACATTATTTTCTTATTTCCACGCGGTACAAAGCCGACTTCGATATTTAGGATCATTGTCCTCTTATAGTATCCATTTTTCCTTATAAACCATGTTTGAGCAGATAGTAATAAAGCCTTCTCATAAATTTTGACCATTTTGCTTGCGTTTAAGTGGTTTGTGAAGATATGCAAAGTGCCAAATTCTTGCGTGGAGCTACGTTTCAGTAAGTCATCAAAATTTTTCACCTCTAAGTAGCGATTCACTCACTTATTTACAAATGCTTTTGACTTTCTCATGTATTTAGCAGCCGCTTGGCGTGATATTTTTGGTCCTTTCCGATGTTTACAAAGAAATACAGCTTCAAAACGCGATGTATATTTGGCACTCATGGCGAAATATATATTTTTATTACGAAGATCGAATAACAACTAAAGCTTTATCAACAAAGCATCTTAGGCGAAAGGTGCCTCTATCGGCTCCTGTTTGAATTTTCCGTTTACCCGTTTATATGTAAAAGTTTTGCCGAACACGCTCTTATCAAACAAACTGTATAATACCTAGGCTGCGGATTTGCAACGTTTTCCATTGTCTGAACGCGTCAAACAATATAAAAAAATAGCATTCTTTCGGTAAAAAGTCTGTTTCTTTCTAACGAAGCCTGTTTTGTTCCCGCCACAAGACCACGATAAGTGGTGGGAATAAAACAGTCTTCGTTAGAAAAAGACAGACTTTTTACCGAAAGAATGCTATTTCTTTATATTGTTTGACGCGTACAGACAATGGGAAAACTCGCGACTTAGATATTATACATCTATAGTTCCATCCTAGCATAAGATTACGAGCCACGAGATTATTCATTATTATGTAATATTTAATTTAAAAAATTTCTTTATTAATAAAAACATGAAAGGTATCATGTTTTACACTTATATTGTCCTCCAAACATACTATTGCAACATTTATAGTCTTTTTATAGTCCATACATGATTTGTTGTAGTTTAAACAATAAATGCAATAACTATTTATTTTTATTTTTTAGTCATCAACAATTTATCTAATTGTTTAAATGAGACTATAAGATCTCAAACGAAGTAGAAAGAAAAAAGAAAAGTCCTCCAGGACGATTTTTGTGAAGAACATGCTTTAGAAATCATATTGATAACGTAGATAGCTTAATACAAAAGTATTCCAATGTTTAACGACCTGGGGGCACGTTATCCGATCGAGCAAAAGTTTGGAAGGGATTTCTTTTTTGTTAAATGGAAACTTTTTGGAGGGTGCCGCAGAAAAAATTTGAAAGTTGAAAAATAAGGACACTCTAATGTGTATATATATATATATATATATATATATATATATATATATTTGCATGCAGAATCAGATGTAATTCCAAATATAGCACGTGAAGCTTTAAATTAATTGCGATAACTTTGTCGCAGCTTAAACCGCAAAATTTTTATCTAGCACAGTAACTACCACAACTGTGGTTATGATAAAAGTGAGACAACATTTTTAGCCCTTGAAAACGTAGTCGCAATTATTTGACTGCACAGCTATTTTGCTATAAAGAGATTGTCATAACTGTTTTAAAACTTCACGTGCTACTTGCGTAAGAAATAAAAATTTGTTTCTCGCAATCAGAACACGTCTGGTTCGTTGATTGTCGCGTTAATTCAACTAATTTTCTTTTTCCCGAGTGCAATTATCTCGTTTTCAACGTTAAGAGAAGTATGTAGCAAGACGACTTTACAAACATACTAATTCAATTACTGTAATAACTCAAATTATGATATTACGTAACAAATTATGATATTACGTAATATCACGTGTTACCATTTTTTTAACGAATTTTTTAAAACGAGCACCTATGATATGTCTTCACAAGTCGCCCCGAAATAATCTGCTGATTCCAACGCAAATATACATTTAATTTCACGATAAAACTCGGCGGATGGTGACTTTTTCATCGGCTCTCGTTTACTATTTCTGTGCGCCTGCGATATTCGAAATATTCACAGAAAAAAAAAAAACTGTTCGCTGTTCCTGTCGGCACGTCCGTTTCAACGGCGGCGGAACGTGTGTAGGCGTACGTTTCAATAGCAATGAGCCGCGAAATTGCTTTACGCAATCGGCCATTATTTGCTTGAAAATTTTGCCGCGTACCCGAGAACGAGTCGCCGTTTGATATGATACGAATATTATTCAATGTGCATCGCCGAGCGCATTTGATTGTGCCGATCGCGCAATTATTGATGGTTCCGGCGGTCCTTTCGCCGTGTAATAAAACGCGACCGCATGTACACGCACACCGCGCGCGTATTTACGGCCGAGCGCACGGTTACTGCACTCACGCCTCTGCGCATAAGCGCAAAGGAGCGGATCAACGAGCAACGGTAATGGCATGTATATAGCAACGAAAAAATAGTAGAGTAACGAAAAAAAAAACGTTTCGTAAAATTTGACGACATTATACAGATTTATACAGATGAGGCGTTACACGGGGATTTTATGTATGGGTAATACGTCGCGGATAACGTATTATTAACTGGAAGGTGAATCGACGGCCTCTTTCGTAGGGACTGAAATATCAGAAGACATCGGAAATGATTAAACGTCGATTTGACAGGCTTTCAAGCGAAATACTTGAAAGTCACTGCTCTCAGATTTATTTCAGGCGCGTCATCAAAACACTTTAGTCCCTGCTATTACAAAAGATAATTTATCATTGTACGCGCTCCTGTCGCTATTTCAATACCTCGAAACGAAGAAATTTTTACACGTCGCGAAAGGAGATTGATTCGTGTCGGCTGTTTTAATACTGAGTACTAAAGATGGTCACACAGATCAATAAAAATATTTCCGATTTAAACAGTAAAAAGGGACTATCTCGCCGGTAAGCAATAAATATTCACTGATTTATAGTGAAAATATTCTTCTTTTATTGCCTCGTTCTGTTTCACACTGATTTTGACAGCAGATAGTAAGATTTCACCGTAAAATCACCGTCGAATCTGTAAGATTTGATGTATCCTATATCAAATCCAAATTTCTTTGTTTGCGACAATAGAATTAACGGCTTCAATGCGAATTCATGCAATGACATAATTTATATTTGCAAACTGCATCAATAATAGTCACTACATCAAAAGCAGTCACTACTAATAACTGATTCTTTCAGCAAGATTTTGCTAATTGCAAAGCTATATTTATATCTGAACTACTAGCTATAAGTATTTCTGTATAGAATATACTGTCTCACTGAAAAATTTCTATTAAGATCTTAAATGAGATATCCGGGAAATTTCTTATATCTCAATTATTTCATATATCTCAATTGAGATATTATATAAGAAAATAATATCTCAATTGAAATATGTGAAATAATTGAAATTTCATATAATTCTCATATAATCACAGAAATTTTTCGGAAATCTCATTTGAGATCTCAATAAAAACTTTTCAGTGGGTGTATTTTAGAGGGTCTCACATTGGCGGGAAACTTGTTATTGAAAAATTTGCACCTATTTCGAGATGAAAAATAATAATATTGCGAACTGTGCATGGGAGCCTCTGTTCTGCCGCTTTATCAGAGAGTACCTCGATAACGCCAAGTTCGAGGTCTATGTTAAGAGGAAGAGAAAGTACAGACGGAGAGTGTAAGGGAGCAGCGGTCGGGCTGAAAGGGGCGAATACCTTTTAGGAGCTTAGAGATTACACTTGGGGACGAGCTAGTAGTAATGCAAAGGTGAGTCTCTCGCGAGCGCAAGCCGCTCATTCCCACGAAGGATTCGACTGAACTTATAATACCTACGATGTGGGATCGGTTGCGGCACGCTTCGAGCCCAGGCTGCCGTTCCATTGACACCATCGTCGACTCATCACGTCGCCTCGCCCGTCACGCTTGACGCATTCATAATTCAATATCAAATGTCTCTCGTTGAGTCTCGACAGAGCCTGCGAAATTACACGCGGATCCGATTTATTGTCGCTGGACAAGAGGCTCCTTCATCCTTATTGTAGGACAGAAAGACAATTGAATGGGATAAAAATCGGTAGACGTAATAAGGATAAACGTAAATAAATTAAACAAATCCCGGGAGTACGTTAGGGATGTACGAATGTTTCATGGTGACTCGAGACGTTCCACGGTGAAGCTCAATCGAGAAAAAGAATTGATTGAGGCGCACATGACTCATGCGAGTCGTTCGACCGGATCGAAATCAAAATTAGCCAAATCTCTTTTGTAGAGCGGTCGGGTAGCGCTCCGAAATCCTCGCCACCCGGCAAATTCGCGAGATGAGACTTGTCATTTAATGCGAGAGATACTTTGAATAGCAATATCCATTATCGC